CACCGCCCATATATGGGCCGGGCCCGCCCCGCCTCGCCCCGCCCCCGCGTCCCGCCCCGCCTTCCCTCCCGGCAGCCCCTGCGTGCGAGCGTGCGTCCGTGTGTGTGTGTATGTATACATGTGTGCATGGGGCGTGTGTCTGTGTGTGGATGTGTGCGCATGGGCGTGTCTGTACATGGGGGGGTGTATAGTGTCTGTACGTGTGCATGGGCGTGTGTATATTGTGTGTGTGCATGTATAGTGTGTGTGTGCACGTCTCTTAAAGGCTCAGATCAAGCGAAATACCATGTATCTGTGTCCGTAAAACAAATTTTCCTGCATCACTCCACAGGAGAACTGCTTTTCTGGCGTGGTTCAGTTCCCCGCCAAGGTGCAGCGGCTTTAAGCCCACTTTATGGAAATGGGAGTCTCCTCCCTTGCTTGCTCTGAGGGCCATATGACTAAGGGCAAGCAAAACCCAGGGGCATCCGAACCCCGAGCCTCCAGGCTCGGGCCTGCAAGTAGGATGCCCGTGAAAGGTTTTGGAAACACCTGAATCCCCAGGTGTAGGTGGAGGATGTTTGCTGGTAGTAGGGCCACTTATGGTTCTGGACTCTTGGATTTGGAATTAGTTTTGGCTAATTTGGCCTTGGATGCAAATTTATTAAAAAATACCAACCCTCCCCCTGCCAAAAACCCCCATGTGTACACAGTGTGTGTATGTGTGCATGGTGTATATGTATGTATGTGTACATGGGGTGTGTATAGTGTGTGTGTGTACAGGTGTGTGTGTGTACATGGGTGTGTGCGTATAGTGCGTATACATGTATAGTGTGTGTACACATGTACATGGGGTGTGTATGTATGCATGGGGTTGTTTATGTGGGTATAGTGTGTGTGCATGTGTACATGGGGTGCATGTGTGCATGGAGTATGTATAGTTTGTATACATGTGTGTATAGTGTGTGCGTGTGTGCATGGGGTGTGTATATGTGCGTATAGTATGCGTATGTGCATGGTTGTGCGTGTACATGTATAGTGGTGTGTATGTCTGTCTGGTGTGTGTATAGGGTGGTGTATGTGTATATGTATATGTGTATATAGTGTGTCTGTGACCGCCTGCTCTCTCCCCCTGCACCTGTCTGAGGAGAAGGAGTGCCCCCCTTCATGGGTGGAGGGTGTGGGGATGCCCTCTCCTTACCACAGGCCAGGTCCCTCCCCCCTCGGTCACTCCCTGGCTCACTGTCCCCTCAGTGCATTCCCCCCCGCCTGGTTTTTGTTACGGTAAGGGTTGGCACAAGGGCTGGCTTCACTCCTTGCAAGTCAGCCCCAGCCTCCCTCCCTCCCTCTGTCAGCAGGGTGGAGAGGTGCATGGGGCCAGGGGAGTGCCTCCAAGCTGTGCCCCCTGCCCATGCCCCTGTGTCAGTGGGGGTTAGCTCAGGCACCAGGGATGGGGCTTTCAGTGCCCACATTAGCCCATTAGAGTGGGGAGCAGAAGTAATGTTAGGGAGGGCCCCGCAGTCGCTCTGAATGAAGGATTTGACCTTCCACCAGTCATGGGCCTTTGCTACTCACTGTGGCTCTTCCTGGGAGGGGCTTGCCCTTCAGCCCTCACTTTTGCAACCCAACCCCTCTTTCTCAAAGTTAGGGGTGCTTTCAGCCTAGGCTCATTGGTTTGGGGTGTGATTAGAGGCAAAGCTTGAGGGAGGCTTGCACTGCTAACATGGTGTGTGTTTACTGTCCCCTAAATTATAATCAGCAGCTTTTCAGCAGTTAAAGCAAGGCTGGAGCCTGGAAACTACCCTCTGGCTACTACAGACATAAACTGAATCGCTCAAGTGCTGATAATCCTCTGGCGCCATCCAGCAATGCCCTGAGGTCCCCAGAAGGACAGAAAAGTTGTTTTCCAATTTACTGGGAAGGAATCAGAGACTAGGTCCATTTCATGAAGATGGAAATTGTATGGGAGATACCCCTGGAAGACTTATCATGCATATGTCAGGGCAGCATCAGTGATGATGTACTGCATTAATCTCTGCATGGCTTTGTAGTGTGTCCACTCACACTCTGGCTACGTTAACTAGGGTGTTTTTCATCCTGACCAAACCAGCAGTGAAGATCGGGGTGGCCAACCTGAGCATGAGTGCCACAAGTGGCCTCTGTGTGTGTCATGTGGTAGATCAGGAAGGGGACAGGCAGCACAGTGGCAGATAGAGCAGGCAGCAAAATGCAGAGCAATCAGGGAGCAGAAAACAGAGAAAGAGATCAGGATGGGAGTACAGAGTAGGGAGAAGAAAGAGCAGCAGATCAGGCAGAGGAAGGGGATCAGAGTGGCAACTGGGGAAGGAGAAAGGCTGGCATGTCATACCTGTCAAAAAGTTTGCCCTTGCCTTGCCCTAGGGGATGGGCCTGGAGGGTTATCTGGCTCTCTACTGTGTTCCCCTTTTGCTGCTAGAAGGAAAGGAATAGGATGTCCAGCTCTTCCATATTTCCATTTTCCTACTTGAATCTGAATGATTAGCCAGTGGTTACTGTCTTGCAGGTTATTTCCTTTAGGGGAGAAACTGATGATGGAATCAGGTGTTTCTTTGATTGTGATCTTGTTTCTCTACAGAGAATATTTCATAAAGATCTGTCTTTCTAAATACAAGCAGTAGAAAGCAAACAGCAAAAGAGTTCCTTTTTTCACAGTTCCAAGCCTCTTTTCAGCCAGTGATCTACCAAAAGATATCTCTTTC